TATCAGCATGAGTACTGGTGCCCAGCTTCAGTTTCCTGTTCTGCATAATAGGAACAAATAATGTTATCCTTAGGGTTTGTCCTGAAGATAATAAATAGATATATATGTATGTTGTAAACTATTAAATGTTACACATGTTAATTATTATAAAAGCAATTGAACAGATCATAAATGTATCTGGTTATGGGTTATTTTCCCCCTTTATAACTCATTGTCTCCATACATGGGCTTTTTGGACAGGAGATGACATCAGTGTGTAGCTAACTAAAGGAGAGTTACACTACAAGATGTAAATATTCAGGGTTCATAGGAATGTGTAGAGAGTAGCTGGTGAGTACAACTGTCCACTAGAAGGCATGACTATGAGATGGCAAGCCAAGGGTGTGTGGATTCCTGTTGAGTTTGCACATCACAAATTTGCAGATTCCCAAGAGTATGGGATTGCACCTGAGACCTGGCTGGCCACATTCTCCCAGAACCAACACCCATCTTAATTATCCACCTCCTACAGGAGGCTTTGCTTGGGAAGCACTTTAGGTTTCTCCCTCCACCTGCCTGGGAAATCATAGCAGGGGCTGGCTGGCAGGTCCTATGAGCCAACACTAGAGGGGGTGGGAGATGCAGGAGGTAGTGCTGTCCTAGGCTGTGGGTTTGAAACTCATCAGTCAGGAAGTGAGGCCGACAGACGGAAGGGCAGAAGGGCGGGCAGGGCGGGGAATCGTGGGGCTCTTCAGAAGGGGCCTTCTGGAGTTTGGTGGCCGGTGGTGCCATGGACTTCAGGGCCAGAGGTTGCTCTTAGTCTGGTAAGACAGGTCTAGGCAACATGCATGCCCAGAGGCAGCTGGCTTTAGCCACAGTGAGAGCAGAAGTCAGGCGACATGAGGTGACCAAGCAAGCTCTAAGCCGCCTCAGGAAGCTGGCAGAGAGAGTGGATGACCTTGATCTTCGAGAAAGCATCCAGACCTCACTGGACAGCATACGAGGTAAGAGAAGTATTGTCACTAACTTGGATGCTTTGGGGATCAGGGTTATAGAAAGGCTAATTCTGCAGTTTATAACTTCTCATTTCACAAACAGTTACTTTCTAGTTTCCAAGATGGAGCTGGGACTCCAGGGAAGAATATATTTGGGAAGGATGGAAAAAAGATTTGGGAGGTATCATTCTTCCTCTTCCCCAAGCCCTGACCCTCCTCCCAGGAGAACAAAATGCAGGTCACCATTGAGTTGACCTTCTTGGCAATGAAGAAGTGAGTGAGCATGGAGAAGCAAAGCTATGACAGACCCAGGGTAGACACAGTCCCTGCCTGGGGAGTCCAGAACAGGAAGCAGTCTAGGGCAGGAGGTTCTGGGACTAGATAATATGTTCATTCCCAGGACCCACTAAGGATCAGTGACCTCTTGTACGCCATCTGTAGAAAAACCACACACACACACACACACACAGAGAGAGAGAGAGAGAGAGAGAGAGAGAGAGAGAGAAATGCACCATACAGAGAATGTTAGTCCCCTTCCTCCCCCCCCCCCCCCGCCCCGCACATATTAACAGAAACACCATGCTCTGTACGTCTTAAGTGCAGAGTAGTCCCTAGGAGTGACTTGGTCTCTCCTGCTCACGCTCCTGTTCCTGTCTCCCTCCCTTTCCTCCCTCCCCCCTCAAAAAAACACACCTTCCGCTCTACCTCCTTAGTGCCATTTGAGTATATGATGACAACACAGGGAGGAAGTGCTGCCATGGCAACACCATCCGCCACATCCTCCTGCCCACCCCAGCCTTCAGTCCTGTGGTGGGGCCCTGACAGGAACAGCTTCTCTCCATCTCCTCTACTAAGGAACTGGTACATCTGGATGTCGTTTCCAGTTTGTGCTATCTCCTTCACCTCTGAGGTAGCCAAAAACTTCTAAATACAGATTTCTTTGCTCATGAAGATGTCTGGAAGAAGTACACCCTTCATCAAATCTGGATCCTATCAGCTACTTCAGACCTCTCCATTCTTGGCTGCTTTCCTGGGGTGGGAGGGTGGAGTGTCAAAGGACTGTTCTTCCCATCTAGGATACCTACCTCCTGCTAGACTTATCTCATGGGAGAAGCCACCACAGCAGAACTTGGGGAACTTGAGTTCATAGTAGGTCAACCTGATGCCCTTCCCATGCCACTCTCTTCCTACTCTCCTTTCCAAGTCTAGTGTCCTCAGCTCCTGACCTACACCCTTTGATGGGAATCACACCTGATTACTCACCTGACAGCCTTAGTGTTTGGAAAGGCAGACCTAGGAGGAATGGCCCACGGGAAGGAACTCCAAGTCCCATCTTACCCTGTTGAGACAGATGGAGGTGTGTGAAAAGAGTTAGGAAGGTAAAGGAGCTTCCCAAAACTTTAAAGAGTGAGAAGAGTTGGAGATTAAGATGACATCAGGTTTTCGTCCTTGTTTTGAGAGGGATGCTATAGATAAATCCAGAGACTCTGGGGCATCCTGCAAGTTAGTCAAGTGTTTGACCATTGAGCTACAGTCCCAACTGAAGATCCTCTCCCCATCACCCCCATGTACATGCATGCCAATCCTAAGGCTTGAACACAGGGCCTGGGCTCTATACTTGAGCTTTTTCTTTGCACAGGCTAGTGCTCTGCCACTTGAGCCATAGCTCTGCTTCCAGCTTCTTGGTGGTTAATTGGAGATTAGAGTCTCATGGGCTTTCTTGACCTGTCTGCCCTGAATGGCTGCTCGGGAGGCTAGATCGGAGGATCATGGCTCAAGATTCTATTCCCACTGAACATCATAGAAGATTTGGCTGAGCCAACAATTGTCCTTGACTCTCTCCTTCATATAACAATAGTGAAGGGTCTCCTGTCCTAGGGATGGTGTCATCTAGATTCTACAGGGAGCTTCTGACTTTCAGGACCTAGGTAGGACTGGGTACAGGACTTCGAAGAACGGCTCCCATATCTCATCCTGAGGCAGGCCCCCACCCTCACCCCCACCATCACCCTCACCAGGCCGAGCATGCCGCTGGCTCCTGCCTCCTGCCTCCAAGAGCCGCCCACGGCTGCACTTATTATAGTCTCGGCTGAGTCAGGGGGGGTGGGACGTCAAATCAAGAGACCAGGGAGCCTCTCCAAATCCTGAGGAAGGGTCTCCAAGGCTTCAGAGGGACCTCCTCCCTTTCAGTCCACCCCACTTCCAAGAGGTCCTCAGCCTTTCTTCCTCTTCAGCTTAACTGCTAAGTGCTTAACACCCTGGCTGGAGGACTGACAGCCTTGAACTCCAAACCCTAGAGGGAGTGGGGGGACACACAGTAAAGGTTGTCCATTTGCTCTACCTACGTCCTCTTCAACCTGCCAAAAGAGTCAGCCCCATAAACCTCTGGAGGGGGAATGGAAACTCAAAAGAGGCTGGCTCCAGCTGCCTCAAGGAAGGGGGGGGGGGGTCCTTGTGTTTGGGGAGCAAAATTCCCCCACAGGTGGGTAACCGAGTGTGAGCATGGGTGCCTTCGCCACCCCAACAGTCAGCCCTCGGTTGCTCTTTCATCCACCCTTCACACTGAACCCTTTTCTCCGTTTATCCCCGCTGCTTCTGAGGTGCTCTTAGAGCTACGGTTGCTATGGAGACTGGATGCATTTTGGAATGGGGGGGGGGGGTGACAATTCGTAGAGGTATTTTTTTTTAATTCTCCCTACACCTTGAGCTGAGGCCTTTGATTTACTCAGCAGCCCAGGCTTGAGGGCCATCAAGTCTCCTACACAGTGTGTCCCCCCCCCCCCACCCCCATCCTGATAAGTTCCATGTTTATCCTCTTCCCTGGGGAATACTTTGCAAGTTCATTTTGGGACAGGAGACACAAGTCGGTCTGGTGAAAGTATTGAGGGGGTAGAGATATAAGAAGGAGCTAGCTGACAAGAAAGTGAACACATCCAGCAACCCGGGGGGGGGGGGAGGGGAAGAAGGGTCCTGGGAAAGAGATTTCAGAGTTTCCTTCTTTCCCACTAATGCTGCCCCCCCCAAATTGGTAGTGATCCCTAATGTGCTTTCTCTCTGATGTCTCTCCACCCAATGGCTTAGCTTTTACCTTTGTCCCTGAATGCCACACCCCACAGTCACGTTCCCTAATCTTGGGTGTGCGAAAGGAGGGGGCTGTCTAGGTTGTTGGAGAAGGTGAATCCAAGTCCCAGGAAATCCAGCCCAGGATTTGGGACAGAAATCCAGTCCTGGATTTTGCACCGCCCCAGCAAACAGCGGTGCTGGTAGAAAGGTGGGGGGGGGAGAGATGGGGTGGGGGGACCCGGGGGCCGCCTCCTCCTCAATGTGAGGGGAGCGCCCGGACACAGCGCGCATCCGGACAGAGCCGAGCCCGGGCAAGGCCCCCACCCCCGGACTCCTCGCCGGGATCTCACGCCCCTCCTCTCCCAGACCCCAGACCCGTGGGTTCCCACCCCCTCCCGTTCCCTCCTTCCTCCCCCGCCGCCTCCGGTATCTCCATCCCCAGCATCCTCCCCGCGCCCCTGCGAATCCCCCCGCCCCGCACAGCCAGCCCCAATTGCTTCCCACCCTCGAGACCCCCCTCCCCGACCGCATCCGAGGCCCCCGTCCCTCGAGCCCCCAGTCCCCACCCCTGCCTCCCCCGCACCGGTCCCCCTTTTGCCCCCTTTTCCTCCCTCTCCCTCATTTGCCCCCACTACTGTCCTCCCCGCCCTCCTCCGCCCATCTCAGCGCCCCCACCCAGGCCGGGGTGCTCGGGCCGGCGCGCCTCCCTGGAACAGCACCAAGGTCCCGGGGCTCCAAGGGGGTGGGGGCGCAGGGCGGGGAGCATGGGGAGGGGGCGCCCCATGTGATGGGAGGGGGGCGCAGGCGGAGGCGGCGGAGGCGGAGGCGACAGCCGAGCCGGGCCGGGGGCTCCGAGGGGTCCGGGGGCTGGGGGCAGCGAGCAGGGCGGCCCCATGGCCGGGCCCCCCTGAGGCAGTCCGGGGGAGCCCCCTCCCCTCCCCAGCTCGGGGGTCTCCGGGCCCCATGAGCCGGGGCGCGGGCGCGCTTCAGCGCCGGACAACGACCTACCTCATCTCGCTGACCCTCGTCAAGCTCGAGTCGGTGCCTCCGCCGCCGCCCTCCCCGTCTGCAGCCGCGGCCGGAGCCCCCGGGGCCAGGGGCTCCGAGGCCGCCGATCCCGGCAGCCCCCGAGGTGCCGAGGAACCGGGGAAGAAGCGGCACGAGCGGCTCTTCCACCGGCAGGATGCGCTGTGGATCAGCACGAGCAGCGCGGGCGCGGGGGGCGCCGAGCCCCCCGCCCTGTCCCCGGCAGCCCTGTCCCCGGCCGCCCTGTCCCCGGCTCCGGCCAGCCCGGCTCGCCCGGTCTCCCCGGCTCCCGGCCGCCGCCTTTCCCTCTGGGCCGCCCCTCCGGGACCCCCGCTCCCCGGGGGGCTGAGCCCCGACGCCAAGCCCGGGGGCGGCCCCCCCTCCTCCCGGCGCCCTTTACTCAGCAGCCCGAGCTGGGGGGGCCCGGAGCCCGAAGGCCGGCCGAGCGGCGGCGTCCCCGGCTCGTCCTCCCCGCACCCGGGCACGGGCAGCCGGCGGCTCAAGGTGGCGCCTCCCCCGCCGGCTCCCAAGCCCTGCAAGACCGTGACCACTAGTGGAGCCAAAGCCGGCGCCGGCAAGGGCGCGGGGAGCCGCCTGTCATGGCCCGAGAGCGAGGGCAAGCCCAGGGTCAAGGGGTCAAAGAGCAGCGCTGGGACTGGAGCTTCTGCCGGGGCCGCCGCCGGAGGAGGAGGAGGAGGAGGCGCTGCGGCCCCGACCTCTGGGGGGGTCGGGGCTGGGGCTGGAGCCCGAGGAAAGCTGTCCCCGAGGAAAGGCAAGAGCAAGACCTTGGACAACAGTGACTTGCACCCGGGACCACCTGCCGGCTCGCCTCCTCCGCTGACCATTCCAGCAGCCCTGGCGCCTGCCTCAACCATCCCCACCACCTCCGCGCAGCCCCCCGGGCCTGCACCTCCTATCACCCTGGAGCCTCCAGCTCCGGGGCTGAAAAGGGGCCGGGAGGGGGGCCGAGCATCCACTCGTGACCGCAAGATGCTCAAGTTTATCAGCGGTATCTTCACTAAGAGCACAGGGGGGCCTCCCGGCTCCGGGCCTCTTCCCGGACCCCCAGGCTTGTCTTCTGGCAGCGGGTCCAGGGAGCTCCTGGGCGCGGAGCTCCGAGCCTCCCCTAGTGAGTAGGGTTAGGGTCCGAGGAGCGGGAGGGTGAGGGTATCTGGAATGCTCAGTCTGGGGGGTCGGGGAGCGACGTGCCGGAAACCAGAGAAGCTTTTCTCTTGGGTGGGCGGACTAGCCCTTGGGTTCACTCCCCTAGCGAGGTCTGGGGTAAAGGAGTCGCGGTGAGTAGCTACACTGAGCGATGGGTGACTCGATTTCAGAGGGATTCAGAGAGCTTTCTGAGAAAATAACGTCCTTGGTCAAAGCCTGTAAGAATATATATATATCCATATATATATATACTTATATATAATGTTACATATTATATATATTACTCCCAGAGAAACCCCAGATCCTACTTGTAGCCTCAGCTAGACTCTGGAAGCAGAAAAACACCGCTTTGCCTGGTGTACAGGGACACTGGAGGAAAGGGGAGGGAGACGCGTGGAAGCCTCAGTTTCCCCACCAGCAGGCAGTGTGACAATGACCTTGCAGGCAGTTGCTCGCCCGGAACAGGTCCTCTCTGGGGTGGTGTGCAGGCTTGCTGGTTGTGTTCTGAGCGGTGAAGGTGGATGGGGCGGTCCGCGAGCGCGCGGGGGCTGGAACGTGCGGAAAATTGAACTGTGCACTGAGGGAGGGGGTGGGGACGCTGATAGGAAGCCTGGCTTCCCCCACTACCCACCCCCGCCCCACGACAGCGGCTTCGAAACCCGCCCGGGGCTGACCCTGGAGTGAGTCAGGGGGGTGGGGTGGGGGCGGAACTGCTGCAAAGACCATTCTTACCCTGGGAGACTTGGGAGGCAGTATGGGGAAGGTAGTGGGATGGTGTCCCCCGCCCCCCCCCCCCACACACCAAGGGGTGTCTTTATTTTTTGAACGGGGAGAGATGAAGCGGGGACAGTCGGTTCAGGCTCACACTCCCCGGAGGGGAGGCGGGTCTGGAAGCGGGGGCGGCCCCCGGGGTTTGGCTTCTGAACCGGGTGGGAGCAGATGGCTCCGGATCCCAGAGTTCCCGCCGCAGCTGCGGCGCCCCGGGAACGTCCGGCCAGTGTCAGGCGCGGGGGCCGGACCGGGCGGGCGGGCCGGAGAAGCCTCCTCCCAGGCCTGTGGCTTCTCACGGCCAGGGGATGGAGTCCTTCCCTTCTCTTCCCTTCCCTGCAGTTCTATTGGAGGGTGTTTGTGGGGAGGCTGTGGGAGACCCAGGCACAGGAAAATCTAAGCTCTATCCCTTATAATGCGGGGAGAGGGTCAAGGCCGCAGTGCCCGTTGACCTTGAAGAGCCGGGAGGGAAAGCCCTCACCTGAGGATCTCGCCTGTGAAATGGAGACTAGGAAACAACCACTCTCTTCCGTGTCTCAGCACTTCCTGCTGAGATCTGTAGGGGGGGGGGGAATCTGTCTTTAACTGGGAGAAGCTCCTCTATTCTCTTTGGGGTGGGGTCCGGGAGACCTAGCTACAGGTCTCTTGGTCTGGGGCAGGGACCTACGTTTGGGGATATGCTTTAAAAGAGATGCCAAATGAAGTATTTTTGTCTTCCTAGCTCTGTTGCTAAGCAACCACTGAGTGGTGGCAACAGCTGTGGGGAGAGCTGGCTGGGAGGGGAGGGCTGGGGACCACTATTAGACCTATCTGTTCCACAACGCCTCACCAGCCAGGCAAGGGTTCGGGAGTTAAGGGAGCCACAAGGAGAGGCTGTGGTGGGAGTCAGGAGTCCTGGTAGACCTGAGCCTCTCCTCTTACTTCCCCTTTCTTTACAGAGGCCGTGGTCAATAGCCAGGAATGGACTTTGAGCCGTTCCATTCCTGAACTGCGCCTGGTAGGTAACCCAGGCCCTGGCCTGCATGGGAAGGCTGCCCTCACCCAACACACTCTTACCAGTTTCCTTCACACCTCTCTCTCTCCCTCCTTCCTTTCTTCCCCCCCCTTCTCTTCTCTTAATTTCTCTTCTCTTCTCCTTTCTCTTCTCTTCTCTTCTCTTCCTTTTCCTCCCCCCTTTCCCCATCCCCCATGGTCCTCTTCCAGTTCTAGGCTTCTCCTTTCTGTCATCTGTCCTTTTAGCCCTTCAGGTTCTATTGGGTAAAACTTTCCGATCAATCACTGCCTAGGCTGGTGACAGCTAATGTGTACACACAACCATACACACACGCCTCATAGGGTTCCTAAACAACCCAAAAAGCTGTACTGAATTACTAACATTGTTCAGCCTGTGATCCACTTCAAGCTTGGGATCACCTGTTATCGCACTATGCTCTGTTCATCCCAGCTACCTCTTCTAACTGTCTGTGGGCCTTAGAGCACATCCTTGGGTGATTTGACACCACCATTCCCTGTGGGTTTTCAAGTGTGTGCAGACTCAAGCATCTTGCCCCCTCTTAATTCCCACTCTCTCTGTTCCCCACCTTCCTCCTCAGGGTGTGCTGGGTGATGCCAGGAGTGGGAAGTCATCACTCATTCATCGATTCCTAACTGGTTCATACCAGGTGCTGGAGAAGACTGAGAGTAAGTTCTCATGAGCACATTACCTAGGGATGAGGGTCAAAGATCCAGGAGTAAAATCAATGCCTGAGCAAATGTAAAGACTAAGGGGAAGGATGGGATGATAATATCTAAAATATAGAAAGTGTGGAAAGGTTTGATGAACCGTCACTTTGGATCTCTTTTTTTTTTTTTTTTTTTGGGGGGTCCGGCCATGGGGCCTGAACTCTGGGCCTGGGCACTGTCCTTCAGCTCTTCAGCTCAAGGCTAGCGCTCTGCCACTTGAGCCACAGCGCCATTTCCGGCTTTTTTCTTTTTGCTTATGTGGTGCTGAGGAATCGAACCCAGGGCCTTGAGCATGCAAGGCAAGGGCTCTACCACTGAGCCACCTTCCCAGCCCTACTTTGGATCTCTTAAAGCTTTTAATTCTTCTCAATAGGTGAGCAGTACAAGAAAGAGATGTTGGTGGATGGACAGACTCATCTGGTGCTGATCCGAGAGGAAGCTGGTGCACCTGATGCCAAGGTGAGGAGTGGAAGTGGTGGGGTGGGTAGGCTGGCTGGCTGGGCTCAGCATTGGACAAGGGAGAGCTCCCTGGATTCCCATGTCTCCCTCTGGATAGCATCCAGGAATGGATCTCTCTGACCCTCCATTTTCCCCTTCACTCCCACAAGTTCTCAGGCTGGGCAGATGCTGTGATCTTTGTCTTCAGCCTGGAGGATGAGAACAGTTTCCAGGCTGTGAGCCGTCTCCATGGGCAGCTGAGCGCTCTCCGGGGAGAAGGGAGAGGAGGCCTGGCCCTGGCATTGGTGGGGACACAAGGTAAGGAAGCAACCAATTTTAGGGGAGGCCTTAGGATGCTACCAGGCTACTGCCCAATCTGGGTGAGAACTGGGTAAAGTGTGGAAATGAATACCTAGATTCTATAACTCTCTAAAGGGAATCTGATTTCCAGGGAAGAGAGAGTCGTGAAAGTAAACACAAGCTTCAAAAGGTATAAACAGAGAAAAAGTCCCCCAGAGAGGAACAGACAGTCACAGTAGCTATTTCTGTGCCTCTTCTGAGATGTCATCTACCTGAGTTCTTATACATTTCCTGACACCACTGCCGTGGGACACAATAATTTCAAGTCCTAGTGTGGATCGCTTTTCCTGCCAGTTACCAGGGGCTACTCAGGAGTTGAGAATTGAGGATTGAGGTTCAAATCTAGCCAAGGAAGGAAAGTCATGAGACTGTTATCTCCAATTAATCACCAAAAATCCAGAAGTGGAGCTGTGGCTCAAGTAGTAAGAACACCAGTCTTAAGTGAAAAAGCTCAGGGACAGCACAAAAAAGCCCCAGGACCAGCACAAAAAAAGAGGGGGGAAGAAAATCTTTCCCATTTTCCTCATGCTATAACTAGCTATCGCTAGGTCAGTCTGACACCTTTTTAAAGAAATGTGTCTAAAAACCAAGAGGAAACACAAAAAAAATGTTGGAGAAAACCTCTTAGTTCTCAAAATAATGATTGAAGCTTACAGACTCTACCAGACCAAGTCAGGAAGAGCTTTTCCAATGCCCACCTGTGTCCAGCTGGCCGGACTTTCTGTCTGATATTGATGCTGCAGGTGTGCACCTCCACTTGTTGCTTGCATCCTGTTTTCTTACTGTAGAGGGAGCAGTCCACCTGTTAACCATAGATATTCAACTTTTTTCCCCCTAGGTCACATGCCAGGTAGCTCCTTATTCATGACCAATTGGCAGGGTGATTGTCATTTTTGAGACTCAGCCATTGTCAGGAAGCTCAAACTCCATCAGGAAGTGCTCTCTCTCTCTCTCTCTCTCTCTCTCTCTCTCTCTCTCTCCCTCTCCCTCTCCCTCTCCCCCCCCCTCTCTCTCACACACACACATACACACAGAGTTTACCTAGCCTCCTTCCGTTCAGGTAGATGTGTGAGTTGGACCCAGAACTAAGAGGAACATATATACCTCCAGTGGACCCATCCTCAGCCTGGAGCACAGAGGAAAGTGAATCATATAAAGTAAGGAAAGGGCCCCTTGTTTAATGCTGTCCCTTTGCTGTCCCCTCAGACAGGATCAGCGCTTCCTCTCCTCGGGTGGTAGGTGATGCTCGTGCCAGGGCTCTATGCACAGACATGAAGCGCTGCAGTTACTATGAGACGTGTGCAACCTATGGGCTCAATGTAGATCGGGTCTTCCAGGAGGGTGAGTGTGGTGATCCACTGCATCTATGGGAAGCAGGGAGCCAGAGGCCTGGGATATGCTAGAGGCCAGATATTCAGGTCTCTCTGTTTTCCAGTGGCTGAAAATTAGCCTCTGAGAGGGAGGAAAGGTGGAGAAAGGTTTGCTTAATAGTCATTCATCTTTCTGGGCTCCAGAAGCCCAATGGGTGGTATGGCAACAAGATGGCCTGGGGGCTACAGGTGGCACAGAAGCAACAGGAACAAGAAAGTTGGGGCCTACTCTATCTTCGGGGGATTTCTCTTAACTTGGAATGGAAGAATGGTCTTGGGGAACTGCCCTGCTCATGCCCCTTCTCTCTTCCCCTTCCTTCAGTGTCCCAGAAGGTAGTGACTTTGCGCAAACAGCAGCAACTCCTGGCTGCCTGCAAGTCCCTGCCTAGCTCCCCAAGCCACTCAGCTGCCTCTACTCCTGTAGCTGGGCAGGTGAGTGGGGATGTGAGAGACAACGGGTAAAGGGGCTGGGGATACAAAGACTGGTAGAGCAGACAGAAGGAGGTTGGTAGAAGAGAGGGGCAAGTGGAAATGACAGTGATACCATTAGTAGAAATGCTTTGGAGCTGGGCTTTGGTGATTGGTGCTTGTAATCCTAGCTATTCAGGAAACAGATCTGAGGATCATAGTTTGAAGCCAGCCTGGGTAGGAAAAGTCTTTGAGACTTTTATCTGCAATTAACTAGCAAAAAATCTGGAAGTGAAGCTATGGCTCAAGTGGTAAAGTGCTAGCCTTGAGCACAAAAAGCTTAAGGGCAGGGCTGGGAAGGTGGCTCAGTGGTAGAGCGCTTGCCTTGCATGCCTGAGGCCCTGGGTTCGATTCCTCAGCACCACATAAGCAAAAAGAAAAAAGCCAGAAGTGGCGCTGTGGCTCAAGTGGTAGAGCGCTAGCCTTGAGCTGAAGAGCTGAGGGACAGCGCCCAGGCCCAGAGTTCAGGCCCCACGACTGGACCCAAAAAAAAAAAAAAAAAAAAAAGCTTAGGGGCAGTGCCCACACCCTGAGTTCAAGCCTCAGTACTGGTATATATACACAAAACTGCAATGGACTAGAAATCAGTTAGGTTTGAGACACTATTTGCAGTGTCCTTAAGTAACTTACTTAACTTCCGTAGGTTATCTGGAACATTGTAAGGCATAATACATATGAAGTCAACTTCTGCAAGAGATTGACTTAAAAATATATTATATATATTATATTTTTTGTTGGTCATGGGGTTTGAACTCTGGGCCTGGGTGCTGTCTCTGAGCTCTTCAGCTCTTCAAGGCGACCTCTCTATCACTTGAGCCACAGTGCCATTTCCAGTTTTCTGGTGGTTTATTGAAGAGAAGAATCTCATGGATTTCTCTGCTCGGGCTGGCTTTGAACTGTGATCCTCAGATCTCAGCCTTCTGAGTAGCTAGGATTACAGGTGTGAGCCACCAGCGCCCGGCAACTTAAACAATATTGTTAAAGATTTTTATTATCAATACAATGAATAATGGTGAGATCAAGAAATGGCTGTATAGGGCTGGGAAGGTGGCTCAGTGGTAGAGCGCTTGCCTTGCATGCATGAGGCCCTGGGTTTGATTCCTCAGCACCACATAAGCAAAAAGAAAAAAGCCAGAAATGGCGCTGTGGCTCAAGTGGTAGAGCGCTAGCCTTGTGCTGAAGAGTTGAGAGACAGCGCCCAGGCCCAGAATTCAGGCCCCACGACCGGACTCCCCCCCTCCCCCCAAATGGCTGTAGTGTAGCTTGGTGAAGGAAGGGGTAGCAGATGTCTTCTGACTCCTCTCTATATCCTCAGGCTAGTAATGGGGGCCACACTAGCGACTACTCTTCTTCTCTTCCATCCTCCCCCAATGTTGGCCACCGGGAGCTCCGAGCTGAGGCAGCAGCAGTGGCTGGATTGAGCACTCCAGGATCTCTGCACAGGGCGGCCAAGCGGAGGACCAGCCTTTTTGCGGTACTGGATATGCTGACCTCCACCCTCCTGGTCCTCCGTTACTTGCCCATCATCCCTCATTCCTAGACCCTCTGTAGGGCTCTTCTTCATTTGTCTTCCCTGTCCTTCCATCAGTGCATCCTTCTATCCATCCTGATTCCAATAACCATTCCAGAATCGTCGCGGGAGTGACTCAGAGAAGCGGAGCCTGGACAGTCGGGGAGAGACAACGGGGAGTGGTCGAGCCATCCCCATCAAACAGGTAAGTGGTCTGGAGCTGGAGGAAGGGTGGGGTGGCTGGTCTCAGCTGGCTTTTCCCCCCTATACACATCTTTCTGTACTCCAGAGCTTCCTACTAAAGAGAAGTGGCAATTCTTTGAATAAAGAATGGAAGAAGAAATACGTGACTCTGTCCAGTAACGGCTTCCTACTCTACCATCCCAGCATTAACGTGAGTGGCAGAGAGTGGGCCACAGGGCCAGCCTTGTATGTCTTTCAGCTCTGCCTCTCTGTGCCTCTGACCAGGGGAAGCTCTAGACCTGCTCTTTAAGATTTAGCAAGCATGTTCAGAGCCCACCATCTGTCCATACTGGTGATGGGAAGGTAAATTTACCTTCCAGGAACCTAGAGTCTAGAGCACTCAGGAAGGCCCTGTCCTTAGCCTACCTTAGCCTGTGAATGCTTCCTGGAGGAGGAAAGGCCAAACCAACTCTGATGGTCCATCTCTTAGGGCCCATCCCCTAGAATTTCATCCCAGCCCAGTCAGCTACTATGGCCTCATCTCCCCCCTCCCATACTATTAACTGCTTTCCAGCATCACCTAAGGCCCAAACTTGGTCCTCCTCCAGGATTACATCCATAGTACCCATGGCAAGGAGATGGACTTGCTACGAACGACAGTCAAAGTCCCAGGCAAAAGACCCCCAAGAGCCATCTCTGCTTTTGGCCCCTCAGCCAGCATCAACGGGCTGGTCAAGGACATGAGCACTGTCCAGATGGGTGAAGGCCCTGGTAAGTGGGTGGGCCTAAGACAAAGAGGGAGGAAGTGCCAGGAGAAAAGGGAGGACTAGAAGGGAAGTAGGAGTTGGCAATGGATAAGTGGGAGGGTGGGTGATAAAGAAATTCCATATAAGGAAGAGGGCTGAGAGACAGAGAGGTTCATCTTCTTCTCCTTCTTCCAGAAATCACTACTCCCATGCCAAGCCCCAGTCCCAGCCCCGGTTCCCTGCAGCCACCAGACCAGACATCCAAGCATCTGTTGAAGCCAGACCGGAATTTGGCCCGAGCCCTCAGCACCGGTTAGTGGGACCGCCCTCCATCCACTGTCTTCCAGATCCAAGTGGGATGTGGGTGGAAAGTGAAATCAGGGTGGAGGCTTGGAGCTGGAATGAATACATAAGTGAACACATGGAGTGTCTGCTGGGCACCTGGCACCAGGCTCACACATCATGTCTATCAAGACAGTTACCACAAGTAGGTTCTAGAGAGCCAAACTGCCTGTGCCCAAATGCTGGCTGCCACACGGGCAAGTTCCTTGGCCTCTCTGTGCTTTAGTTTTCTCATGTGTAAGTGTATTAGTGTTTGGAATGCTTGGAAAGATATAAAGACCAAGGAGATAGATTACACAAAGACTCAGGTCTGTAGATATAATTTAAATATCAAGCAACATAACAAATGTTCCTTACAACAACCTCATTAGGTCAAGATCACTATCCGCATTTTAGGGAAGAAGAAGTTGAGACTCAGACTTAAGTGACTTGTTCAAGGGTCCAAGGTCAGTAAGTGGCAGAGCCAGGGTTGGAGTAGAGGTCTGATTCTAAGCCATTTATCTGCCCAGGGGATCCCCCTAGAGAGACACAACTGGGGACTGAGACTCTGAAATGCCAAAGTTAGTTCAGAGGAGGAGAGAGGTTATGAAGAAATCAGGAAATCTGTGGATGGGACAAATGAGGCAATTGTGTCCTCCTTCCTAAGACTGTACCCCATCTGGAGACCTGAGCCCCCTGAGTCGGGAACCCCCTTCTTCTCCCATGGTGAAGAAGCAGAGGAGGAAAAAATTGACAACACCATCCAAGACTGAAGGCTCAGCTGTACAGGCTGAAGGTGAGGCTCTGGTGGGCAGTCCCATTTCCATTTTGGACCCTTATATCTCTGACCTAGCTCCTGCAGCTGGAGGTCAAGTGCCTGAGCTCAGTGCTTGACCATCATTACCATTGCACAGAATTTAATGGAGAAATGGGTGGACACCCCCATCCCTTGTCCTTCCCCTGTTCCCAGCCAGTGCATTTTCCCAAGAATTCCCTATTCTTGATGACACTCTTGTTCCCTCTTCTAAGGACTCTAGTTCTTGTTCCTGCCCTCAGCTTAACTTTTGACCCCCCACAGCCCCTACAACCCTGACTCAGCTCCTGAACTCAAGTGTTCCCTCTGCTTGCCAGGTCCTGGACTCTGGTCACTGTCCGAAATAACTTACAGTGATCACCAAACTCCCCCAACAACCCTTGACCATCTTGATCCCATTATTTTCCCCCAGGACTTCACCCCACCCCCCAGCTCCGCTGACTTCTCCTGAGCCCCAGGGCTTCTCTCCTCCTAGCCTGTGGCCCAGCTTCTGTCCCCTTCTCCCATGTTCACCCAGCTCCTGACTCTCCCTATCCCTAAAGAGACCCATGACACTGGTCATGACACCTGTCCCCAGTGCCCCTGCTCTCTGCTGGGTGCTCAGACTCGGGTTCTAGATCTGCCTACTCTCATGGCTCTTGGCTTCTGCTCCACTCTGCTCTGGGGCCACTGACTTTAGTTCTGCTTTCTCTCCCCATCTGTCTGTCCTGCTTTGTCTCTGGCACTCTCTGTTACTGTCTCTCTCCATCTCTCCATTTGCCTGTCTTTTCCTTCTTTCTTGGTATCTCTTTCTCTGTTCTGCTCTCCATTCTATCTCTATCTCCTTCGCTTCGGGAAACCAGCCAAGCGCAAAATGTGGAAACTAAAATCCTTTGGTAGTTTAAGAAATATTTATAAAGCAGGTAACAAGCGGGGAGCCTGGAGGGGCACTCAGCTTGGGTGCAGAGGGGGTGGGGGGCCTCTGCCTCTCCCTGCATGCGCTGGGGCTTCCTGCTTTTCCCTGCCCTCTGCTTCCCCTTCCCCCCACTGCCCCACTCCCAGGGGCTGGGACAGACATCAGGGAGGAAGGGTTTGGGAAGGCCCCTGACTGAACTTTGTTCCTCATGGTACCCGTCCATCCCCCTACCCAGAGGAAAACTTTGAGTTCCTGATTGTATCCAGCACTGGTCAGACATGGCACTTTGAGGCAGCCAGCTTTGAAGAGCGGGATGCCTGGGTCCAAGCCATCGAGAGTCAGATCCTAGCCAGTTTGCAGTGTTGTGAGAGCAGCAAGGTCAAGGTAATGGTTTGGGGAGGGGGCAGAGAGGGGGCTGGGAGGAGAGCAAGGTGTTGGAGAAGATGAGCGATGGGGAGAGATGCCACTCAGAGTCAATACTAACTAACCACCACCCATTGCGCTGCAGCTGCGCACAGACAGCCAGAGTGAAGCTGTGGCTATCCAGGCAATCCGGAACGCCAAGGGAAACTCCATCTGCGTGGACTGTGGGGCCCCCAGTGAGTGCAGTGGCACGGTGGAGGGGCCTGGGAAGGGGAATACCGGGCTGGGGAGTGTGGATCTCTGAAGTCAGTGAATGCTGGGGTGTCATTCCATGCTGCCCAATTGGGAAGCTACCTCTGCACTCTGTCCCCAGACCCCACGTGGGCCAGCTTGAACCTGGGTGCACTGATCTGCATCGAGTGTTCTGGCATCCACCGGAACCTGGGCACACACCTGTCCCGCGTTCGCTCGCTGGATTTGGATGACTGGCCGCGGGAGCTGACCCTGGTGCTGACCGCCATTGGCAACGACACAGCCAATCGCATCTGGGAGAGCGACACTCGGGGTCGTGCTAAGCCCACGCGGGACTCTTCGCGGTAAGCGTAAAGGAAACAGAAAGGCGTGGGGTTGGTAGTGCTCAAGATCTGTGGGCCTTCCTCCCCCCCCCACCCCCCCCGAGAAAATCCCTTGGCCTCGGGCAGGTCCTCTGGGGCAAAGGCGCAGAAATCCTGGTTAAAGGTTTCTGGAACTCTTACTGTTGATTCCTGGTATTGCAGGGAAGAGCGCGAGTCGTGGATTCGCGCCAAGTACGAGCAGCTGCTGTTCCTGGCGCCGCTGGGCACCACGGAGGAGCCGCTGGGCCTCCAACTGTGGGCCGCGGTACAGGCCCAGGACGTGGCCGCTGTTCTCCTGCTTCTGGCCCACGCGCGACACGGGCCGCTGGACACCAGCGTAGAGGACCCGCAGCTCCGTTCCCCACTTCACCTGGCTGCGGAGCTCGCCCACGTTGTCATCACGCAACTGCTGTTGTGGGTGAGTGTAAAGGCGGAGTTTCGAAGCCAGCCGGGTCAGGAAAGTCCGTGAGGCTCATCTCCAATTAAGCACCAGAAAACCGGAAGTGGCGCTGTGGCTCCAGTGGTAGAGCGCTTGCTTTGAGCTGAAGAGCTCAAGGGGCAGCGCCCAGGCCCAGACAGAGTTCAAGCGCTTGGATCGGCACCCAAAAATAAAGCCTGGTGCGGGAAACCCTCATTTCCCCCAAAGGGAACCTGTACAGGAGACGGACTTAGGAAGCGTAGAGAAGGTGGAGGTACGGACGGGGTGGGGACGCGCAGTCACCGGGCTCTTTCTGCCCTCCAGTACGGCGCGGACGTGGCGGCCCGCGACGCGCAGGGCCGCACGGCCTTGTTCTACGCGCGTCAGGCTGGAAGCCAGCTGTGTGCAGACATCCTCCTCCAGCACGGCTGCCCGGGCGAGGGCGGCAGCGCAGCCACCACGCCCAGCGCCGCCACCACGCCCAGCATGACCGCCACGCCCAGCCCCCGGCGCCGGAGCAGCGCCGCTAGCGTGGGCCGCGTCGAAGCCCCGGTAGCGCTGGTATAGTTGCCCAGCAGCGGGAGAGACACCCCATCCCCACCACCCCCTCAGGCGAGCCGGGCACGACCACACCGGGTGGACCATTGGACAGATGCACCCACTCACCTCTTCAATCCGCCCCCCCCACGGGAGCACTTCCTTACCCCCCACAAGGGCACAGCCCCCTCCCCTCCCCACGCCTCCCAGAAGACACAAACGCACCTTCCTCTCCCCAACGAGGCATGGAGACCCTTCCCCCCCACCCCCACAGCTCAACACACCCCCTTCTCCACTGTTTCCATACTCGGATTGCTTTGGGTCTACCCGCGCGCGGTGTTTGCAGAAGGGGATGCTCTGGCCGCGTGCGCGCGCGCAGCGCAGGCCCCAGGGCGCTTGGACATGCCCATTCGCGCCCCCTGTTGGTGGGAAAAGACCCAGTCCTACCTGCCTGCGCTGAACAATCCCCAAAGGCGGGAGCCCAAACCCAGGCTGGCTCCTGGGGCGACGCCACGCCAGAGGGAGGGGTTAGTACGTGAAGGGCTAGCCCTGGGACTTGGGACCAATACTGGGACCCCCGTCCCTTCTATGCTGATCTCACTGCCCAGTGAAGGGGGAGGAAGGGCAGCGAGGGGCAGGACCCCTGCTGCCCATAGAGTGTGTGTGTGGGGGTCCCCAACCCTTTCCGTGAAAGGGACCATGAGGAGTGGAAATTAGGATGTCCCCCTACATCTACCTATAGATGGAGCGAAAGGGCCAGGGGGGAGCCAAGAGCCCGGGTCCCTCCCCTACGATCTTAGGAGGGAGAAGGAACGGAGCCTGAGGGGGCTGGAGAAGGGCCTTGTAATTTATTGCTTTGTTCCCCAACATGGGGGTGGGGTGGGGCCGGGGCGCGGGGAGGGCTTTTTGGGGTAGGGGAAGCCAAGGGTGGGTAAGGGGTGGGGTGGGGCGGGGGTGCTCTCTTGGGTTGTGAGTGTCTGTGACTGTGACTGCGTACCTGTGACTGTGCAGCACCCGTGGTGATCTGGGGTAGGGGGGCACCCCTACAGTGGGACCCCTCCCCCGTTATTCTTTCTGTCCAGCCCCTCCCTCCCACCGGAGCAGCTCCAGACCCGTTCCTTAATCCCATCTTCCCTCCCCTGCCAGGGCTGAGAGGATGCGTGGTGGCTGCTATGGTTTCCAGTTCTCCCCTATCTCCCCCCACCCCCCTAATCAACCCAGCCCTTGGACCGTCTGTGTCAGTGGTTTCCCGGTTGTTTTCTTTCTTTCTTTTTTTTTTCCTCCTGGCTAAACTATTTTGCAAAAGACCAGGTAATGGGGAGGGAGTGGGGTGGGGATAAGGGAGGGATGTCCCCCTCATCTCCTCCTGGGAAGCAGGTGGTGTGAATCTAAAACAGCAATTAAAGAGGAAGTGATTTTGTCTAGGGGGTGAGCTGCTGGTCTGTTCTTCAAGAGACAGGTGAGGGTGTGGCTTTGGTCAAGGTGGGGACCTGAAGGTGGGAAAGGGCCAGGCAGAGATGCCTCCCTCTGGGCTGGTGTTAGGACGGTAGCCATGGACATGGAAGTGGGTTCATCTTGTACAACAGTCCTGGGTTTGTGTCGTGGAAAGAGATGGGCAGGTGGGACCAGCTGTGGGAACTGAGAGTAGAAAAGAAACAGACTGGGGCTGGGAAGGTGGCTCAGTGGCAGAGCGCTTGCCTTGCATGCATGAGGCCCTGGGTTCGATTCCTCAGCACCACATAAGCAAAAAGAAAAAAGCCAGAAGTGGCGCTGTGGCTCAAGTGGCAGAGCACTAGCCTTGAGCTGAAGAGCTGAGGGACAGCACTCAGGCCCAGAGTTCAGATCCCACGACCGACTCCCCCACCTCCACCCCACCCCCCAAAAAAAAAGAAAGAAAAGAAACAGACTCATAAGGTGAGCCAGTTTTGGGAATAAGTTCAGGTATGGTGTGTGGAGGAACCAACAGGCCTGGGGGTGGCTCTGATTTACAAACAGGAATGGATCTGGTTTTGAAACCTGCCCCTCTGGTCGTTAGCTAGTAAATTATGGGCAGGTGTCCTCTGTGGTGTCTGTCTATTTATAATCTGAAAAATATCTGCTCAGAGGCATAGCCCTAGAAGGGCATCCTAGGCTAGGCCAGTCTGCTCTCCTGCAGTACTGATCAGAGCAGAGCTAATGGTAGGGATCCTTCTCATGGCCTGGTCAGGAGGTCCAGGAGTGAATAGATGAAAGATCTTCTGGAAAAGATTTTCCTGTCAGCTCTAGTTCCTTGATGTCCACAAGCTCATGACACCCAATTCAGGCTTTACCCCACCTGTTGTCACCCTGAGCTGCAGGGTAGCTAGTCCAAAAGTTTCTTTTTCGTGTGCCAATCCTGGGGCTTGAACTCAGCTTCCTGAGTAGCTAGCATTGTAAGTGTGATTCACTGGCACTGGACCCAATATTTCTTGGGGGCAGTTGAAAGCATAAGCACTGATAGACTGTTGGGTCCCAGGAGTTGTTGCCCACTTTGAGGAATCAGTCTCTGGCACCAACCATTTTTGGGTAGAGTTGTTTCCAACCTTCTAACCCCAAGGTGTTCAACTGCAGATGTACAGGTTGATTACAAGGTGTGGTCACAGCACCAGGCCTAGGTATGACGCACACAGGCTACTGCTCTTCAGAGTTGTAGACTGGGTAACTTCCCAACAAGCAACAGGACTCAGGAAGAGGTGGAGTCAGGTACAGGACAAGGTACAGATTCAAGTATAGTCTGGATAAAGTGAGGAAGACGGGAAGTAGCAAAGACTTGACTGGTGGACCTGGCCACGTTCAGCCCAAATACCTTGGATTTCCTCAATTCATTTTAACTTTCCTTCTCATGCAAATGCCCACTCCATCAGAAGCTTGGAACATGAGAGTATAGGGGAAAAGTGACCTGGAGAGAATGAAATTGCCTGCAAAGGGAACCACGAGCCAGTGGGAAGGTCTAATTTTCAGCTACTGAGAAATAAGGTGTCACCAAAACTCATAGCAAATCCCACCACCAAGCAACCACTTGTTTTATGTTTTTGGGTCATGGGACTTGAACTCTGGGCCTGGGTGCTATCCCTCAGCTCTTGGTGAGCTCTCTACCACTTGAGCCACAGAGCCACTTCCGGTTTTCTGGTGGTTAATTGGAGATAAGAATCTCACAGACTTTCCTTCGCTGGCTGGCTTTGAACTGTGATCCTCAGATTTCAGCCTCCTGAGTAGCTAGGATTACAGGCATGAGCCACCAGCACCCAGCCTCACACTTGTTTATTTTTTAATGGGCTATGTCTTTGGTCTTGTGATAGGTAAGAGAACATCAAGTCCCCAGATTAAGGCAGAAAAGGACTGTAGGAGAGTTCCTGGGTGGGCAAAGAAAAGCTGCCACTATAGGCTAATACCAACCCCACAGCTCACTGTGGGTGTCCTCACTTTGGTTCACATTGCCATCCTCCAGCCCTTTCCCCACCTGCTCCTGGCTGCCATCTGCCACACACCTCCCTTTGTTTGCCTTAGCACAGCTGGGGCAGACTGACTTCCACAGATTTGCTAAGAGCCAAAAGAAAAAGGAGTTTGTTGTTTATTTGTTTTACTGGAAAGTACAGTTATGAAACACAGTGAGGTTTCCAGATCTGTTTTCTGCTCAGACTAGATCCCCATCAAACCAATGATAATTTGGCCTAGTCTTTTCCTTCTTAACCTTCCAAAGGATGCTTCTTTAACTTTCAGTCAGCTTTTAGGATTTCTTCTAAGATGCTTCCAAATACTTTAGTGTGCAGCTCAGAAGCTGGTTTGAGTTGGTGCACACTTACTGCAGGCCAGATCCTTATTCTGTCCTCACTGGCCATAAGGTAACCAGTACTATTTGTCAGTTTACCAATATAGAAATAGCATTTGAAAAGTTCAATATTGGGGCTGGGAAGGTGGCTCAATGGTAGAGTGCTTGCCTCGCATGCATGCGGCCCTGGGTTCGATTCCTCAGCACCACATAAACAGAAAAACCTGGAAGTGGTGCTGTGGCTCAAGTGGTAGAGCGCTAGCCTTGAGCTGAAGAGCTGAGGGACACCGCCCAGGCCCAGAAGTTCAAGCCCCATGACCAACAAAAAGAGAAAAAAAAGTTAAGGGGCTGGGAAGGCTCAGTGGTAGAGCGCTTACCTTGCATGCCTGAGGCCCTGGGTTCCATTCCTTAGCACCACATAAGCAAAAAGAAGAAAGCCGGAAGTGGCGCTGTGGCTCAAGTGGTAGAGCACTAGCCTTGAGCTGAAGAGCTGAGGGACAGCGCCCAGGCCCAGAGTTCAGGCCCCACGACCGGTCCCCCCCACCCCAAAAAAAAAGAAAAAAGTTAAATGTCTTGTCCAAGCCTCCGCTGATGGGAGATAGAGGGGTGAGGCTTGGAACCGAGTTCTACCTATAGCCACTCAAGGCAGTTTCTAAGTCATTGCCCAGCTGAAACATCCTTCCCTTCAAGGTATTTACATGGAGTTGGGGAAGCAAGGGTTATAAATCTGCCTTTCATATTTCAAAACAACTTAGGTGTAACATGAATGATAAACTCTAGTCCATACCGAGCAAGAAGAGGTTCAGTCTCTGGTGAGTTCTTTCATCAATGGATCCTACACTCAGGTGGTGGTGAAGATCCTCTTGCTTGTTACCGTCACCTCCCCTTGCACCAGGATTTGAACTCAGAGCCTCAGTTGTGCTTGGCTGGTACTCTACTTTTTTGCTGGTAACTTTGGAAATAGAGCCTCAAGGACTTTGCTGCCCAGGGTGGCTTTGAATCTCAGTCCTCTAGATTTCAACCATCTAAGTAGCTAGGATTATAGGCATGAGCCATAGGCACCTTTCCTATTCTTGCAAGACATTGGAGCTAGAGACCAGATACTTCCAAACTGGAGGGCTGGAGGAGAGCCGCTACCCTGGGAGAGAAAGCAGGAATGAAGAGAACCGCAACCTGTACTTGGCAATAAGGAGAAGATGGGACACACCAGGACTGCCTATCCTTTGCACACTGAATCTGGCATGTGTGGGCATAGGCCTCTCTGGCTATGGGCTTAGGTGTTTTCTGAAGAATGGCAAGTGACCAGGTAGGTATGGGATGTGTGTATGGGATGCAAGTGGAGTTGGAAAAAGATCAGACGATGCCTGGGGCAGGGTGCTAAGTGAGTGTGTGTACATGTGAGGTCTCTTTGGTTGCAGTTTGGCTTTCAGAAAATAAAGAAGGAAAGAAAAGGAAAGAGATTGATGCTAATGAAGGGAAACAACTGGGCTGAGGATATAGCTTAATGGTAGAATTCTTACCTAGCATGTGTGAAGCTTGTTTCTAGCTTGGGGTTGGGATGGGGGAGAATAAGGAAAGAGGGATGTCAATATCTAGCTTTGCTCAGCTGGCATGGTCTCTGCCTGTATACCCCAGACCCTCAGATAACATCTAGAAGGTGGGCAGGATCACTAGATCAGAGAATGTGCCTTCCACTCTGAAAAGAACAACAAGCCTCCTCCCTATTTGAGTGTCTCCCCACCCACCTATTCCCAAAAAGGTCAATGGGTTGATGGTCCAGTTCTTTATTTAGAAACCTGATTGTTGAAGAACGTGGTGGGTGGTTCCTCATCACACTCTCTTGCTGGATTGTGTCCGAGGTGATGTACAGCGCTCTCCCATTTCCTCAATGAAAGAGCTAAAGGCTCTCTGACGCAGAAACAAGGATTGTAGGGGACAGTAGGAGCAGGAAAGGAGAAGGAAATCTAGGGGAGGGGGCAATGATGCTACACAGCAACAGGGCATGGGTGGGCAGTCTGCTTTACTGGGGCCTGCTAATCCGCCCTGTCCCAATCAAGATCTTACTCATCTAG